ATGATTAAACTGATAGGATATTAGATTGCAATTGAATTAATCTCAGATGACTAATTTATAGGCCTAAGTATTAAATTATCTTAAGTAAGTTGAATTTGCTACTGTTTTTGATTCTAAAAAGTTGTGAAATTTGATAAATAAGAAATACTTTCATTAGGAGTTTGGTAGACAGATTTTGGATTTATTCCTGAAACTACAGAATAATTATATATCACTTAAGGGTAGGTTTTTGTGTAGTATACGTCTGGATTGCCTCCATCAAAAGAAGAATTGAATATTTAGAAATTATTAAGATTGAAAAAACTATTGTTATAAAAAAGTACTGCAGAGTTAAAATTGTCTTGCATCAAAAAAATAGCTGAAGTGCATACTATTGGTGATGCCAATTCGAGGATATAATAGAAACTCATATGCTGTGGTAAAGAAGGATTATAAATATAAACGGTATAATTACTAAAAGTCACATAAAAGTACTAATTATCAGATTATATAATCATATTATTATCAAATTTTACACTATACATGCTTTTTGAATAATAATATTTAGGTAAATTGTTATAGTTCCAAACTTTGAAACAAATATTCTGATCATTATTGCAAATGTATGATAAAATGAGTTATTAGTTTACTAAATTTATTTATTAAATTTTGAAATTTACTTAAATCACTGAAATAGGGGTTGGAATGTTATTTTAACCTATTGAAACTATGATAACTTCATTGATATTATTGATAAATAGTAAAGAAGATAACAATTAAGTATTCATAACAATTTATATTGGATTAAATTGAATATTTTTGAAAAGCTTATTTATTAATTATTAATTTAATGTAACAATATTTGTGTAATCTAAAGATAGTATTTAGATTTCTTTATTTAGATATAAAATTATAATATATTGATAAGCTACAAGAAAATCTGAGAATACTTCTTAAAATGTAAAATTCGATTATTCAATATTATGTTGACTGTTATAGTAAAATTTAAACAAGTAAATTGTCGAATTTTCTTTTAACCCTGCTATTACCATCATAGGTTATGAACTATATGCAGTCTATAATTAATCTGCATTGATAGAAATTTATGATGAATTTTTAATAGAGCATTAATAGGGTGATTTTTAATTTGGTTGATAGCAATAATTATAATCAAGCGATGAACCATTATATCCAATTAAAAAAAAGTCAAGAACATAGGATTATTTTACAAGTTGTGCAAAAGTATATGTTTAATATATATCAGCTAATTTAGTATAAGTTATTTAATAAAAGCCTTATGAACTGCTTTCTGAATTTAGTGAATACTGAAGCGCAGGCCCTGAAAAGTTCAAAAAACTAATTATAGAATTATAATTCTATTAAAGTTAATACTAATTGAAAAATACATCAGTAGTAATAAAAATAACCTGCTTTTTATTCATACATAAATATTAGTATCATTCTAATCCAAAAGTTAAATATTAAAAAATAATACTATAAATGCATCCATTTTATCAATTCTTAAACAACTCAAACTAAATTGTTTATAATTTTTTGCAATAGTTTAGTTAGTGAAACTTAATGATAAAGTAGGTTATGAAATTCTATATGCAAAGATTTTTTGATTAAATGAAAATAATTCATTAAACCAGTTTAAAAATAATTATGAATCATTTAAAAAAATGTGCTGCTATTCATAAAATTATTCTAGCTAATAATAAATTTGTATTTTATCTGTAAATTAAAATATTGTATAATAGTAGATTTTTCTAAGTATGAAATTTAACAATTTGTTGTTTAGAGCATTTGGGTTTAATGCCAAAAATTCTTACAAGTCTAGAAAGGAAATTAAGTAGAAATTGTTATGAGAGTTTGATAGGAATCAAGATTTATTTAGGAAATAATAAGGAATTACTTCATAAAATAATTATATAGTTCTTCGCTTTTATTTCTTAGAGCAGGGACCTTTCTTCTAACTATATTAGTTCTGTTAGGAATTAAATAAGATTCAAATATATGCAAAGACTGTTAATAATTAAGTAAATGCTCTGATTTTTTAATTTCTATTTAACATATATCAATACAACAACGTATTAATTTATTGATCTTGTTCCAAGGAGATAGATCTTATTAACCAAAACTAAAAAAAATTTGAAAACCACCCTTTAGAAATACCAACCTAATCTGAATAATGCTATAATATATTTATCAACTAACATTTTGATGTTGATTGGGATCAATTATCGTCTGTATTTGAGGAACTCTGTAGCTTATAAGAAATGTATGCATTTCTATAATTAAGACTATAAAGTATTTTTGAAAGAGATGGGCTTTTGTTGGGTTAATACTAGATAAATTGTAAAAGTAGCTCTTCTAGTTACTTTTAGAAGAGTTGGAGTAACGGAATGAAGACTATGAATTTAATTTCCTCTTCTTAAACAAAAATATTAAGTGATATTTTAGGGTAAATCTAGTTGTGAAGAGTTAATAGTATTTGATTAATAAAGTTAACTTGAAAGTAATTCTAAAATGAGGACCACAAAGATTTTTATTGCTATTTGATTAATAATTGAATAGAACATGTTTTAAAGTCAAGATGCCAAATCCTGCTTTGTAATTTCAACCATCTTTGCACTGTAGCTATCTTTTCTAAAGCCAAAAACACAAGACCTTGTCTTTTAAAAACAAGAGGTTTCAAAGCAATTTAGAAATGCTTCTAAATTTGCTCTATCTTATTATGGTATCTTTAAAAATAAAAGAAATATCATAACTCTAGCATATATGGTGTTTAAAGTATATGAAGACAATACAAATTCCTATCCTTGAAGCCTTAAAGCTATTTTATATTAAAAGGCCAAGAATACATAGCCTTGTGTCTAATATGTATGATTTAACAATAGCTTAAGAGTAAAGTCTTGTTTGATTTTCCTGCAGTCCTCATAATTATAGTTGGTCTTGGAAACTTGATCCCCTTCTCTTTTTTCATATTTATTATTTAACAAAAATATATGGTAGACCTCCAATTAAGTTTTTCCATATTTACTAATTTTGGCTACGCCTTATTGTTATTCCTAAGCTTTAGTTGCAAAATAATGATCGAATCCAACCTTATCAATTAAATATATACAATTTGATAGTTTTATCTTATCTGTGAAATTAACTAATCATTTTTTGAAATTTAAAATTTCCTTATGAAATAGGAAGCTTTTTATGAATTTCCATTATCATCCTCAAAAATTGAGTATTGCAGCAATAATAACAACTGGTAAATCATCTCTTTCATTAGAGAGCTAACTAACTACTATAATTACGAAATTTTATTAAAAGTCATTAGGTTTTATTAGAATTAGGCGATTCAAACTTACCTTAATAAATTAAAGAAAAACAAAATTATTCTTCATCATCTCTTCTATCTTCATCCTTGCCCAAGTTAACTTATCTTACTTAAAGAAATTCTTAGACAAACTTTCCTTAATGTTATCAGATTCATGTTCATGCATATGCCAATCATAATTCTATAAATAATATAAAAATGATAGTTTTTGAAGGTGACAATGCTACTGGATTAAGACAATAGCACTTTATTTTCAATTCTTCGTAACCTAAGTATTATTGAAAATCAACAGTCGATTATTAGACCATATGTATTCTATTGGCTACTATAGTAGCAAAAATCATATGCCTTCAGCTTTTTATTTTGTGATTATTGAGAGTTTCTCCTTAAACTTTTCTTCGTGTGTATGACAGATTGAGATGTGTATACTTTCTCTTTTCTATCACTTGGCAAAAACTATACTGACATCTCAAATAATCTACTACTAACACTATTTGAGCTGTTTGCTCAGATAGGTGACCTAAGCCAGCAGCACACAGATTTCTATTACGGTGGTGGTTTGATGCAATTAGTGTAATTTTATCTTGCAGGATTGTGATTCTTATCAAAACTATAGCCAACCACCTTAGGATAGTTGCACTACATGATATATCTATTATAACACCATAGCTGGCTAAATTTGCAAATCTGATGAACTGAATTCTGAGGTAATTCATCAAATACCCTTTATATTATCAAAGATGAATATTCTGTCCTTAGATATTATTTACAGTTTTATTAAGTTTGAAAATTTTGTCTCTGTATATGGATGCAATTTTTGATAGATAAGTAAATAGGGGCAGTTCAAATTGTAATTAATGCTCTAAATCTTGGGCGGATGATTTTTTGTTGCTAACACTTTTTGAATGGAGACACTTTGTATATCATGTATACCATTCATCCTATTAGTACAATAGTAATCCTTGATCGATATGTTTTCTTCAATTTTCCTTTATTTAATTCCTGATTATTATATTCTTGTCAGCACTGCTCATTTGCATATAGAAAGTTATCTGTATTCCATTCTTATTTCTTGTTTGTGCATATAAATTAATTCTTTGATCTTTGAGGCCAAAACTTAATCTTTAGAAATGAATATTTGGAATATCACTAGTTTGTAAATCTTTACATTTTAAGCCATGCTCTAAATTCGGCAGAATATAGTTGTATGAGCTATTGCTGCAATTATGTATTAATTGAGTGTTTTGTTTTGAGATAGTTCCCAATTATTGTGACTTTATCTTCTCCATTTCTTTATCTTATGGGCTATTCATGTAAAGATCCCTAATATGTACTGATCAGCGGAATTTGTTAAATACAGTCTTTTTTTTAATTTCTGTAGAATAGACTTTATTATTAATCAGCTCAACTTTGACAATAGAATCATTTTGAATAATAGCGTGCCAATACTACTTATGGCAGCAAAATTTACTTATAGCCGCTAAGAATTTAAATTGGCATTCAACAACCCTGTAATGGAAAATTGCGTTGGACCTAAAAGAACAATTATTTTCCAAATATTCCAAATTTTGATTTATCCTCAATTCTTTAGAAACATCTAGATCCTTGTGTAATTAACTAAATATATCATTCCCTTCATAAGATTCTTAGCAGATACATAAATACATTTAAAAAAATTAATTTCATATATAAAGGTGCGTTAATAGAAACAACCATATTGAATAAAATTTGAATCTTCTAATCCTTATTACATTATTCCATCTTCACATATCACTTTACAAATATTCAATAATTGTCCCTCTTAAACTTGAGTTATTCCCCAATACACTTCTGCTGCAATAATTATAATTATAATTTAAATAAATTAATTAATTAAAAATGGGCAAATTGAAATTAATTAAATTTACACCATAAAAAACATGACACCAAATACTTGATTTAGAACATTCAGAATAGTATTAAGGACTATAAACAAAAAGAATCAACTAGCTCTTACATCTTTCAAATCAATTTCTTGTTTTTTTTAAATTAATATATCAATTTAGATGATGTATATATCTGTTATATACAAAATATCATAATACTATATATTCATTCCTTTTTACTTTGTATTATATTCCATTCTGTTTTAGATACGATATACCTTTAAAAAAACCAGCTGCCTATCATCTGATAATACACCTTGGTTTGAACTTGATTAATATTTTAGACACTTATGCAAATAATGTAATGTAACGAATTTTTTTTCAATGATTTTCTTGTTGCTAAAAGTCATGAACAACTTGTGATATTAGTTCTTCAGACTGAATTGTTTGTTGAACTACGCTTCATTTTAAGAGATTATTGGAAACAAAATATGCACAAATTTTTTTGAATCCAACAAATTTGTAACTGCTCCGATATTAAACACCTTTTCTTAATTTCAATATTTTAAATAATGCACTTGTGATTTAGAGATGACTTGCTTATGGTGTAATAAAGTTTGATAATCAAGTAAATAAAAAAATGGCATTATTTTTTATTTATTGAGAAAGTTATAGCAAACAAGAAAATGCAAGATCTGAAAAAGAGAACTTATTTCAAAAGTTCTACTTGTATTTACCTCCTCTTTGAATAAGTTAATGTTCATTCCTTGCAAACCCTCAATTATTACCCTACTCTAGGGAACCAATGTTGGTTGTGTTATTTGTCTCACAAACTAAAATATGTCACAAGGTTATAATTATCACATTTTTCTAGCGAAAGTACAATTCCCACAGTATTTTTCTTCAATGCTAAAATTTGTAATACGTTTGCCGAATTCATCTTCAACAGCTACCCAAAGGTCATACTCGAATGCATAATAATTTTATAAGCAATTGATGACACTTTAATAAATCTTATCCCAATTTTATATACTTTATTTAGATAAGAGTATACACAACCTTATGTATGATCTAAGGATATAATTTAAAGGGAAATAATTGCTAAAGTTTGGCTAAATGATGTAACAATAAAATGTGTCTGATGTGATGGATTCAAATATTATGGAGCATTTAACTTTAGCGTAGATTCGAATTATAAATCATATTTTTTTTTAATTTACTTAAACTTCTCAGTTCCTGTCCTGCTGCTTGGACTAAATATTGAACTCTATGTTCCCAAACTCTGCTACCTAATGCATTGATTCAGTTATTGAGGGTAACTATACCACAACTACTCTGACACGTTGTAACAGTTACACTAGTGAATGCACATCATTTCTTTATTTTGATTTCTCCTCATCTGATAGAATAATTTCTCATAGCATTTAAGCTCTTGTTTAATGTACTTATGAATTGTATGCTAACTGAGATACTGAACATAAAATATCAATAATTTTTTCTTGGTTTTTGTAAATTGCTCAAGTGTTTTAAGTTTAGTTTTAATTAAGATGGGACTACAGATAAATATTTCTCAAATTATACTTTTTGTGCTTTAGGCTTTAGTAGAATGCATTAGAGAGGCAGCTATTAAAATTATCCACAGGCTGCATAAATGAGATGTTCAAATTACGTACACAACTTAAGCTCAATAATGTAACTAATCTAAAAATCCTTGGCTTATCGTTGCTTTTTTTTCATTTTATTTACCAAAATTTATTGAACAAAAATAATTAAATGCCTAGAGGGATTCATATCCATAATATCCATCCTATTGAAATATGAATGATTAAGATACTCAATTGGTAGCAACAAAATTTAGTAATGTTAGTATTTGTACCTTTATGCCTATAATTAAATGTAGACAATTCTCAATTTAGTGTAGAGTTTCTTTTATATCTTTGCAATTAATTTATCATCCTGGACTGCTCTTTCAGCTCTTTACTTTAGTATAAGCAATAATGATTTGATCTGTGCTCTGTGCTTCCTACAGAATAACGTGTGTATAAATTTAATACCATACAAAGCGCTGTCAAATATAACTAATGTAATTTACAATCCAAAATGTCCTTAATTCTCATTAAATATATTATATAAGAATAGAGTATTCCTTTTATTATATTGATACGCCTTATCTACATCTTCCATTTGTTTAATGATCACAAATCTCAAAATTGTGCTTGATTTTATTAATCTCATTTATCTAATTATAATATAATCATATAGGTTATCATTTTACCACAACTCTCATATATACCTTACCGAAAACCTCCTTTGAACGAGGCTTAATGTAGGAAACTTATCCTACTTGCTAGTATTGTCTCATCTGATCTGCAGCTTTGCGCCTTTGGATACTCACTTATGTCTACCAAGTTACTAGAAGTCATCTACTTGCTTAAAAACTTTAACTTTTTTGTTGGTTACTATTATTAGAATAGAATTCCGTTTATGTCTTCTAAATTTAATCTCTCAATTGATTATTATTATTTATAAAATATATTTAACCACAGCTTTTGGGGAATATTTTCTAAGATGTTCCAATGTTAACATCAAATGGGATTTGTATACTCAATTTGTTAACACTCTTTTTATAAGTTTTTAATGATCAAGTTCTTCCTCTCATTTAGATTAACAGGTAACCTGAATGTAAAGAACAATCAACATTGATAACATCAGATGTTGAATAATAGTTAGAACATAAGAATCAGAGGTGATACTAAATCTTCAATTAATCCAAGGAAATAGAACTAACAAATAGCAAATGCAGTAGTACTGATACATCTCATGCATGGAAAGAGTTGATGATACCAGAACAAATTACTTCTACATTTCGAGCAAGCAATGACTCGACTTGTTTAGAACCAGTCCTATGTAATAAAGGTAATGAAGGATAACTGGCACACTTTTACAATAAAGAGTGAAAATAATTAATATTAATTGCAAA